GGGACTCTGGATGCGCCCAGCGAGTGGAAGGTCGCTCGTTTGTCTGTCATCTTCAATAAAGGCACAAGATACGAGTTGACAAATTACAGGCCCGTCTCATTCATCCCGGTCATGGCGAAGCTTTTCGACTTCGGGCTCTACGACTTCATCAAGGGAGGCGTGGATACGCACCTGCGGAATGGCTCCCGTAGCGGAAGGGGATCCGACGATGCTTTGCACGTTTTGAGAATGGTAGTCGAGAGATCTGCAGAGTGGGGGGACGAGCTGCGGGTGGCTACCCTGGATGTCGAGAAGAAAGCCTTCGGCAAGGTGCATCAGGTGCAACTATTCGAGGCGCTTTTGTGGTCAAACGTGGATTTCGGAATGGCAAGGGTTCTTCGGAAGTTTCACAAAAAAATGCGTGCACATGTGCAGCTATATCCTGGCATACGGAGTCGCCGCTCCAAGGTGCAGCGGGGCGTGCGTCAGGGAGACCAGCTTAAGCCCGTGCTGTTCAACGTGATGATGGCGCAAGTGTTGAGTGAAGTCGGCACCGTATGGCAGCGACGAGGATACGGCACTGCGATTGGGCGAGCGCTAGACGGGAAGCGCATGACGCACGGTCATGCGCATGGTCATCTCTGTGTGGGCTGCACTGATGAAGCGCAGTTTGAAGTTGCACCCTGCCAAATGCAAGGCGCAGACGATTCTTCCCGATATTCAACAACGAAGCGGCGTAGCGTTGGACGGCAATTTGTCGCTGAAGGTGCTGACGGAGGGGGAGCCTTCGGAAGTGTTCGGCGCAATGCTGCCGCTGGCAAGTGTGACCAATGCAGAGCTGGAGCACTGCGTGGCGATAGGGTGGGGGAAGTTCTGGGAGTTGAAGCAATTGCTGACGAACGCAGACATTTCGCTGCCCAGGAGATTGAAATTGTTCGACGCGGCCATCGGCAGTAGTGTCTTGTAGGATCTTGGGCGCCGCGCGCGGACGTGACGCGCTTCTTCAAGAGCGCTCAGAGCTGGATGTTGCGACGTGTATGCGGCATTCGGCGTGGTCTTGCTGAGCCATGGCGCGACTGGGTTCGACGGGCCACGACGTGCGAGGGCCAAGGCTTACGCCATGGGCGTCATGGGCTGGCGGGCTGGCCGACGGAACACGCAGCGAGGAAGTGGTCCTGGGACGCAGGATGCAATTCCGCGACTCCGCGTGGACGTAGGATGCAAGGCGCGACGCTCATGAGGTCATCGCGCGGCAGACATATGAAACGGGAAGACCAACTTCGCCGAGATGCTGCTCATACTGGCGGGCGACGCTGGGCACTGATGGCCGCCGACAGGGCCGGGTGGCTAGCCAGCGCGCAAAATTGTTCGACGTGGTCGACGGCGTAGCTTGCGTGTCCGGCCCGAATATTCTCGCTGTTCTAGCTCCTTCTTCGCGCCCCCGCGTCGGGCCTCTTCGGAGACGCGCGCACCTGCCACTTGCCACTTGCTTCTCCTCGCCGTTCCTCTTCCTCCTTTCTCCCTCCCTCTCCTTTTTTTTTCGCCTCCCTCCTCCCGCCCCCCTCCTCCTCCTGACTCACCCCCCCCTTCGCCCCTCCTGAGTCTCCCCCCTCCCTCCCTCCCTCCCGCGAGCGTGGCCTGAGCGGTCTCGTCGGCCGCGAGGGTCCCTCGCAGTGGGCTGCTCGCCCTTCCTTGTGACCCCCCGCCTATTGCAAGCAGCGCGGGGGAGGGGTTCTTTATACCCACAGGCAGGCCCCATGCCAGGCTCAGGTCAGCGGGTTTCAGTGGGGGTACGGTCAGAGAGTTGAGGTTCGAAGGTTCGACGTTTGAGGTTTTCGGGCGCTTTCGTCGGTTCTCGGCGGCTTTCCAGCCTCGAGATGCCTTCCATCGGCTGCGCCTCACCGAGGGCGTTTGGGGAGTTCAAGAGTCGCTCCCAACAGCCGCCGAAGGACCGAGTAAGTCAGGGGGCGGTTCCCCGGTGGAGTAAGATTTGGGTCGACGTTTGCGCGGCGATGCTCCGACGCAGGTCCGGCGCGAGCCCGACGCGAGTCCGCGGTAAACCCGATGTGACCCGACGAGAACCCGAAGTACATCCGACGTGGATCCGACGCGCATTGGGTCTCAGGTCGCCGGGCGAGGTTTCCAGTGTGTCCCGCACGCTGCCGGCCCCATACCTGCGGCAGCTCGTTTCTCGCGCAGCTGCAGCGTGCTCGTCCTCGGGGGGCGTTGCCCCGCCGCCACGGCTGGAGGGGGCGCGAGGAGCTGGCCGCCGAGAGGCGCCAGGTGTTCCCTCGAAGCGCGAGGTGGCGAGGGAGGTGAGGGGGGCTTTCTACCCACAGGCAGGCGCCATGCCAGGCGCTAAACTGGCCCTCCTCGGTGGCGCGCTGGTCCCTCGCCTGCGACGCGCGCGCGCAGGATCGTCCGGGCGAAGAAGCAGGGGCCCGAGGCCCCCGTGGACGCCGCGGCAAGGGGGCTGGCCCTGGACGACGCGCTCGAGGATGCGGCCATCTCGCTGATGCAGGAGTGCTGGCAATCGTCGCCGTTCGGAGCTCCGTGTAGATCTCTTGGATCGGCGCTGGACCCCCCTGGCGGCGCCTCCCTCATCCTGGCTCTTTTGGGCCTCGTCGCCACGGCTGGATTTGCCTTGAAATTTGCGGTCAGAACGCGCCCTGGAGAGGTCCTGGGAGTAGCGGTATGGGTGTCTTGTGGTTTCCTCGTGAGCGCCGGCAGTCGTCCTCGTCCTCGTCGGAGAGGGCTTTCCGCAGGGCCTCCGGAGGGTGACATTACGGAGCCTTGGGCGCCGAGATTATGGAAGCCTTCCAGGTAGAACGCTTTGTTTTTTGTCGGGAGCGTGTGGGGGTGTCTCTGCAGAGCCTGGTGATCGCCGCGATGTAACAGATATTGCAAAGGGGGCCTACCAGTTTGAAGTTCCGTCAGGGTTGTATTACGGGCCTTGTCGCGAGTAGACTGCAGGGACGCAGAGACGCCCGCTCTGGGTTCCGGGACTGTAGACACTTTTTGCGTCGGCGGCGAGGCAGTGGCCGTCTGCGCTAGCGGAAAGCCCTAAACGGGGGTGCCGTTAGAGCGAATTGTGCCACCATGCAGGCGGAGGGGAGATGGCAGAGGATGCGGCCGAAAGAAGGGGCGGAGGGAGCGAGGGCGCTCAGGGGGACGGGTCACGCCCCGAGCGCGTGGCGCGGCCAGTCCCGCCGGCGGGACCGTAGGCACAAGTGGACCCGAGACGGGAGACTGCCCCAGACGGAACTTTGGATTGGTCTGGCACCGATTGGAGAAAGCTTAGCTTGGCTTGGAGCGCCGTCGCATTCACCGTCGCCGTCACCGCGGTCGTCGGCGTCGCCGCCGCCGCCGCCGTCGTCGCCGCCGTCGTCGCCGCCGTCGTCGCCGCCGTCGTCGCCGCCGTTGTCGTCGTCGTCGACGATGGAGGGTCGAGGGTCGATGATCTCGATTTCGACACTTCTGTGGGGTCCTTTTGATGTTGGGTGGGGGCGCCACCGTCGCCACGGCTGGATCCGCATCGACTTTCTGGTCGGAGTGCGGTGCAAGAGAGGTCGATGGGGTCGTCGTCGCCGCCGCCGTCGTCGTACTGAGAGGGGGACGGGCGAGCTCTGCGGGGTGCCTGCGGCGGGCTTCTTGGAGGCCGTCGGAGGCTCTTGCGACGGTTTTGGGGGGGATCTCCGTGAGCTCCAGAGGCTTCCGCGGGTGATCGGGGGTTCTCTAGTGAGGGAGTTCGAGTCAGCGGAGGGTAAGGAGGACGTGGAGCAGGGGGAAAAGGATGAGCATGAGAAGGAATGCTGAGGGTGAGGAAGAGCACGAGCGCAAAAGGAGAAAACCAGGAGGAGGGGGAGGAGGAGGAGGAGAAGGAGGAGGACCAGTGTGAACCCAAGGCGCATTAGCGATGTTGCAATACAACCTCCCTCCAAGTCCCCTCCTCATAGTTCCCTGCAATAGTTTAGTTTCTCTGCTGGAAGTGTCCCGTCGGAAGACACCCGTCTGAGAATCCTCAACTGTGCCAGAACACCGCTTTTTGGACTTCAACGCCGCGAACCAACTTTACTGCTGCGTCCTGACGATCCTGCATCGAGCCAGTCCACGATTCCTGGGACTTCAGCGCCGCGAATAACGTGACTGTTGCACCCAGACGATCCTGAACCGCGCCATAGCACCATTTCTGGGACGTCAGCCCTGAGAACCCATTACACGGCTGCAAAGCGTGAAGACGAGAGTGCGCCGCGGCAGGGCGAGAGCAGCACTTGGAAAAAAGGGGCCCCCTCTCTCTATCTAGCAAGGTCTTGCAGATTTGCCAGCCGAATGTGCGCGGCGCTGAGGCGAGGGCCGAATTCTGAAAACCAGCCGCCCTCCATCCGTGAGACGATGCAACCTGTTTAAATGAATGAGCGTGGCGCTTAGGCGAGAGCCGCATTTTGGAAGGCAAGTGCTACATGTTGAAGACCACCCGCCCTCTTCCCGTAACATTACTGCAACTCTTAAGCTTCGTGATCCTTCATGGTGAGGACGTCTCAGGCGCAACGCCCGCCTGCCCTTCCGACACGCCTCGGGGTGCGACAGGGAGGGGTTGTTTGTAAGGCAAGGGGATAGATGAGGAGCAGGAGGAAGAGAAGGACGAGGAGGAGAAGGAGGAGGAGGAGGAGGAGGAGGTGAAACGGAGGAGGAGCTGGAGGCGGAGCATGGGGAAATCGAGAGGGAAGAGGAGGAGAGGAGCCTTTTCGGAGGAGGTGGAGGTTCATCAGGGAAGTACACTCGCAGGGCCTAGTGTTCTGGTCGCGCAATGCAGCGCCGCGCAAATCAACTTGATGAGCAGGAGCAGGAGGAGGAGGGGCAGGACGTGGTGGGTGAAGAGGAGGAGCGTTTGGAGGAGAAGGAGGAGGAGGAGGAGGAGGAGGAGGAGGAGGAGTTGCAGCAGGACGAACCGGAACAGCAAGAGGAGGACGAGGTCGGCCTTGCCTCGGGATCCTGCCCGAAGCGGAGCGGCGGCTGCCTCTCCCACCGGGTTCTGCTCATTCCCGGCCCTGCCCGCGGCCCTGCCATCGACGCACGAGCGCCGCCTCGGGGCGGCCACCGGGGCCTCCCCCAGCAGCCCGGGGACGCCTTAGGCCAGGACCCTCGGCATCGCTCGGACGTGTGCATTTTTCCTTCAGCGAGGGTCATCGAGAGGCATCCTTGATCATTTGGCGAAAAAACCACGCACGAAACCGAAAATAACACAGGGAATGGACGTCCGAGCGATGTCAAGGGACCGTCTCCACCAGCAGCCGCAAACGCCCGCCTCCGTCCTTCCACCTGGCCCGGGATGCTTCCCTCGGCTCGGGATGCTTCGTCTGGCTCGGGGTGTTTTTTGTTGTTGGGCGAGGAGCAAAAAAAACAGGTCCAACCGCGCGGACATGCGCGCGGGAGTTTCCCCGCGCAGGGTCGCGCGCGAGCGCCCTCGTTTGACATGCAGCCTGCCGCGCTGGTTGCCCGCGTGTGCGACCACGTAAGGTCTCGCTATGCCATCGCGCGTAAGGCCTGTTTCTTCTCGTCGGTCCGTTGGCTCGGGCTGTTTCTTCACGTGGCTCGTGGTGCGCACGGCACGCGCGCGAGCTGGCAGGGTCTACATCAAGCTGTGTGGGTGCTGCGAGTAGGCAAAGCCTTTGTCTTCGTCGCTTCTGAATGTTCGATCGTGGCTTCGTTCAGCCATTCGCGCGCAGAGGGCCTCCGACGCCCGCCGAGGGCCGACGGGTGGCTGGCGCTCCGTGGCCGAAGGCGTAAGGCCTCCGGATCCGATGGCGGAGCGCCTGCCCCGAGGGTCTGACGCAAGAGCGCCGGCGAGGAGGTCGGGGCCGTCCTTTCCGCGCCCGCCCCCGACTGTCAGAGAGACAGCTATCGGGTCTGGAGGATGCGGTTGTGAGAGGTATAGGGTCATCCATCTTATCGCGTATGCCGAGTGTGCTTGTTACACTCGAGTGCCCCGTACCCTCCCAACTCCATCCTCCCAGCCCGGTAATTGCCTTTCTGGGACTGACGATCCGCTCAATGTGTCCCTTCCCCCCCCCCCTGCTGCTGCTCTGCTGCTGCCTGCGGTCTCCCTCCCGGGCTCCCCGCCCCTCGCCGAGGCGTTCCAGCCTGCTGCTGCTGCTGCTGCTGCTGCTGCTGCTGCTGCTGCTGCTGCTCACACCTCTCTCTGCCCATCAGCCTCCTAGACGGGGCCCGGAGGCTGCGGCCGCACGTCATGGAGGACAGAAGGAACAAAAGGACCTAATAACACGATGAAGACGTGGCCCCAACCCTGATAACACGATGAAGACGTGGCCTCACGGAGGTCTCCGCCTTCACATTCGGGATAGTACCTCTGGGCGGTTTGGCCTGGTACATCTGCAGAAAAGACCCCCTAGCCCTAGGCCCACTCCCAAAGGCTTATGTGGTTTTTTTGTTCATCAACACGAGCACTGCACTATTTGCCCATCTCCGCGCCCCACCAGCCGGGGTCCATGACAACCAGTTCCCCCCGAGCAGCGCCTGGCCGTGGCGAGAGATCAAGACGCCCAGAAGCGTTCTGCACAATGCATCCCCCAGCGACTAGCCAGCGACGACCCCACACGACTGCCTACCATCCGATTCGATGCGATTCGATTCGCCGGCTGGGGCCGCGATTCCAGTTCGATGCGATCCGGTCCATTCACCGGCATCGGCCAAGGCCAGCCGGAAGCGGGGCGCCGCGGCGATTCGATACCGATCCGATTCGGGACGATTCGCTGGCGATTGGATCCGCTCTCGATCCGATCCGATTTCGCGATGCGACCCAGCCCAGACCTGCCCCAGGCCTCTCCGATGCCATGGCTTGCTCAAGTCGCGGGCCTCGGATCCCTCGACCGCTTGAAATTCCCCTCGGTTTTGCAGCCCGAGCTGTGTTCTCGTGGACGGCCTTGGGCCCCAGAAGCGGCCCCCTGGAGTCCGAAGCTTGGGAAACGATGGTGCTGGCGCCCACCCGACGGGCTGGGGTCTTGGCATCGCTCGGACGTGTGCATGCTTTCCCGGCGAGAACCATCGAGGAGCATCCTGGGCCATCGAAGAGAACAAAAAACACGCACGAAACCGAACAATGCACGGGAAATGGACGTCCGAGCGACGGCAAGGGGTGGTTAGATTTAGCAAGGGAGACTACCGACCCGCCTTGCATGACATTACCGTGCACACCGCGGCCGCGAGGCTCTCGCAGTGTGTTGGCGCTCCCTCGGGGCCCACCCTCGCGTGTCTTCGACGAATGTGACGACTGCATACCGCGGCGGGTGCTCCCTGGGGATCCCACCCCGCGCTCTCGGTTGGGGATCGCTCGAAGCAGCATCATCATGTTTTTTTGTTTTTTTGTTGTTTCTCTCTCTCTCTCTATATATATATATATATTTACACCGTGGATGTCTGGGACGTCGTCGTCGTCGGTAGCCGCCGACTTTTCGCCCCCCTCCAGCCGGCGGACCTGTCTATGCGTCCCCACAGATCCCCCCG